TAGCCCAACATTAGCCGCCTTTAGCTTAGCGGTGGTGACATGAAGTCATGTGACCGTGCTGTAGTTCCTTTATAGCCCAACATTAGCCTCCTTTAGCTTCGCGGTGGTGACATGAAGTCATGTGACCGTGCTGTAGTTCCTTTATAGCCCAACATTAGCCACCTTTAGCTTAGCGGTGGTGACATGAAGTCATGTGACCGTGCTGTAGTTCCTTTATAGCCCAACATTAGCCACCTTTAGCTTCGCGGTGGTGACATGAAGTCATGTGACCGTGCTGTAGTTCCTTTATAGCCCAACATTAGCCACCTTTAGCTTCGCGGTGGTGACATGAAGTCATGTGACCGTGCTGTAGTTCATTTATAGTCCAACATTACACACTACTTTGTGTGAACTACGTTAAAGCTGTTTCTCTTTCACTTATGAAGCCAGATTGAGTTGCAAAACGTAATTTCTAACTTCATACTCTTCTCCAGAGAGACGTGGCTCATAGTATTTGTAGTAATTCACTGTCAGTGACATAGTCGTTCCACATCTGTCTCAGGTTCGTTTCACATTATGGTTGTTTTGTGTCTTTTTAATTCATATTTACATATTTTTGTATATCTGTGTAGTAGTTTTGTGTCTCTTTATGGGCTTATCGTGTTCCTTTGTAACGGCTTTGTGTCTCCGTCTACATTTTCAGTCTTTTTTTTTCATTGTATGCCTATGCCTTTATGCCTGTCATTTTAGATATTCTTTTTGTGATTCTTGCCTTGTTTAAGTCTTTTTGAGTCCCTGATTGGTTGAAACGTGTCTCTGAGAGTGACAGCGGGCCCTGATACTTTTGGCCCATTCATAAATCCACCAGGCTGTTCAGCATCTTCTTTAAACTTCCAACACAAAACTATTATTAATCAAATCAAACTGAATTACACATGAATTCCATATAAAAATGGTCCACCATGAACCCTTTTCTGGTCTTTTTAAGCTTTTAATATCGTTATTTTCCATATTTAGAAAGTTAATTTTAGACGTTTTATTCATTCCTTCCAACAATATTTCCTCTCCATCAACACAGGAAGCTCCGCACAAAGAGTGGACGTTTCAGAGCAGAAGCAGTCTATTTCAGGAGAGACGAGGGTCAATGAGACAGTATTTCTGTCCTAATCTGAATATTTTAACCCTTTATTAACCCTCTCTCCTTCTCTGCATGTATTTCTCTCCTCTCAAACTTAAACTGTCCATACGTCTACATTAGAAACAACAGGAAACAATAAAACCAGCTGTTCCTCAGTACATTAACCGTGTGAAAGATGGCGGTCCAGACGTGGAAGTGACGCAGCTGTTGACTCGTTGTTTATCCCCCATGGTGCAACAGGAACAGGAAGTGAAGATGTGTCCAGCTGATAGGCGTGGGAACCGTTCCCTAAACAATGTCCTCCATTTCTCCCTGTGTGCATGAGGGTGAAAAACCTCATCAGGAAATCTCTTAAAGTTGTAATTAGCTTGGTGGAAGAACTCAAAGCTAAAATTAGAAATACTACAGAGTACAAATACTCATTAATAAGTCAATCTGCAATGGAGCGAGTTACTAAATCTATAAAATAAGAGTAATAAGGACATTGTTAGCCCAGAAATTGTAGGGGGGTAAAAGTTGAACGTAGCATAATGTGGAATAACTCAATTGAAGTACCTACATTTCTTAAGTAAAAGTACTTCAGAAGCCATAAAGACAATTCCTCGTTATCATGAGGTGAACTTGTAAACAATGAACAATTAAACCCCGAGGCTGCAGCTGTGACATGTTGGTTTCCCAGAAGAAAAGATGCTGTTTAGCGTCTCGAAGGTGAAACAAAGGTGACGAATCGCTGACGGGACGCCATTCACACTTCCTGCTATTATCTTTGAAACACTACTCCATCATTTTCCTGACTTTCCCCGTGAAGGACAGCCGCGTTCGTCATTATAGCTTCACAATAGAATCCAGTTGGGACTTAAAGGGAGTGGCAGAGAAGGGAACACAGGGATTTTAGGCTCTGCAGACCATTTACATGCACGAAAACCAACACTACAGGAGAGGGAACACTAAAGAAAGCAGAATAGGGCCTCTTTAAGATCCTCTGACTGATGGTAGGAGCCCCCTCCTCTCTTTATGACTAGTTATTAGGGGTGTAACGGTACACGTACCGAAATGATTCGGTACGGGCCCTTCGGTTCGGTACACGTGTGTACCGAAGTGTACCGAACGAATATAACGTTAAACGTAAAAAAATTGAGAACGTGAACAACTTCTTGGAAGTAATCTCAGGTGCTGCGTCGCAGCATTCAGAGTAATTTGCTCACATTGGGTTCAACGCGTCATAGAGCGACCAAGTCATTTCATTGGATGAGAGGCATACTATGAGAGCTGGTCAGAGGGATGCGTTCAAATGTAGTCAGTAATTTGAGGAACTATCGAAATGGCGAACGCAGATAAAGTTGAGCTGAAAATCCTCCAGCATCATTGAAGTCTCCGGTTTGGGAACATTTTGGTTTCGCAGTTACGAACAAGGATGACGGACAAAGACAGGTGGACCGAACCAAAGCTGTTTGTCGGCATTGTTCAACTAACATTGGTTATGCGAATGGCAATATATCAAACTTGCACACTCATTTGAAAAGGCATCACCCGAATGTGAATATCACCGGTACCAAAAGAAAAAAGACTGAAGTGCAAACCCAACTCCCACTAGCATGTAAGCCTCCACCACTCGCAGAGAGTTCAGACCGAGCCAAAGCTATTACAAACACCAAGTATCCTTATGTTGCCATGTTAGCAAAGCGCTACCTGGCTGTATCTGCTACCTCTGTCCCTAGAGAGGGTGTTCTCCACAGAGACATTGTTAGAGCCAGCAGATCTGCCCTTTCAGCAGCAATGTGGACAAGTTCATCTTTCTTTAAACAACATGAAAATACAATGACAAGCAAGTCCTAATGTAAAACTCGCTGCTTAGGTGCTAATACAGTACAGTTCAAATACAGATTATTTCAGTTCATCGAAATGCTGCACCTTAATGTTTATTTTATTATATTTTGTATTTATTTGAGTGAATATTCACAATTTAATAATAATTAAAAAAAATATATATATTTTAATGTTTTGTGATAATTTTTTCTGCTGTACCGAAAACGTACCGAACCGAACCGTGACCTAAAAACCGAGGTACGTACCTAACCAAAATGTTTGTGAACCGTTACACCCCTAGTAGTTATGGTTTTATATAAAGAGTAAGAACTGTGTAAATCAGGCAGTTGTTCCCTGAAGTGTCCTTGATGTACACGCATTATATCACTATTTGAGTAATTGAACTAATAACAAGAGAATGACGTCATGACCTTCCCCTGTGACCTGCAGTCGACCTGATCGCAACCACAAGTAAACAAAACTTATATTTGTAGTCTCCTAAAGTTGAGATGATGTCCTTACCCGGTTGACTTTACCACCCTGTGTGTGTGCGTGTGTGTGTGCGTGTGTGTGTGTGTGTGTGTTTGAGGATGCGTTCTATATTATGTTTGTGTAGTTGTTACTAATTCAGTCGTGTGTGTAAATCAAACAGACAGAGTAAACAAACGATGAGCTTCCTCCCGGGATTTATTTAAAACGTCCTGTCAACGCTCTGGACAACACACACACACACACACACACACACACACACACACACACACACACACACACACACACACACACACACACACACACACACACACACACACACACGTTGTCTGTCTCTGTGTTGACAGGTCTGAGGAGTTTGTTTCCTCGAGTCAAGTGTTAAACACAACTGACCGATGAAGACGTCAAACACGCAATGTTGTCAAACTTACATAACACTGAATATCTAGTGTTTACAGTTTTAATGTAAATAAAACATTTGTTATTGTTTATTTAATTATTGGATGTTCATTTTTAGATATATGTGTATTTGGTTGTTTCACCTCTTTCTGTCTCGTGGATTTGATTATTTATGAGACACTTTTACTGTTGTTTAGATTCCAGGACACTGTGTTTATTTAACGTTTATAACACACACACACACACACACACACACACACACACACACACACACACACACACACACACACACACACACACACACACACACACACACACACACACACACAGCTTAACGTTGCACAGACGCTGGATCTTTAATATGTCACGGAGAAACGTGGGCACAATCCCAAACAAACAAGTGATTATGAAAGTAATCACAGAGGGTGTCGTCAACAGGAATGAAAGGGGAATGCTTTTCATTTGAAGAGGGTTTACCCAGGGGCAACCATTAAGTGCTGTGAGTCACTGCAGTTGTTTGAGTCTGAGAGTAACATTAAGAGATTAAAAGCCATCTTTGTTTTCCTGCAGAAACAACGCAGAGGAAATTAGACTTTTGGAAAATGCTAACGTGTTGATGCAACGCAGAAATCCACAGCCTCAGAGGAAGAAGTGTGTGTGTGTGTGTGTGTGTGTGTGTGTGTGTGTGTTTCTTCTCTCAGCAGCGTCTTTTAACCTGTTGAGTTTTTAAACCCTGCTGACAAGATGTAATCCAGCCAGACGCCATGATGGATCATCATCATTTATCACATGATTACTCGCTCAGTTTCTACTGAAAAGCTTGTTTAATTCCCCTGCCACTTGAAACCATGTCTAAAGTTACAGTGGAGGTTGCATTGAAAAACGTTTACACTTCGTAATGTTGTGTTTTCTACACGGGGGGATTAATGTACAGATTTACTGGACGAGGTGCAGGGGGAGAGCTTCTGTTTGAGCTGACTGTTAGCATTTCTTGATGAATAGTAAATCAAAGACAAAAATAATGTGTTTTATGCTCTTAATGTCGTTGTGTTGAAAAGTGGTATATAAATAGCCTTGCCTTGTCTTAAACTGAAATAATTTAAATGTTCTTACTTTCCACAGTTTAAATCGTGTGATTAAACCCAACATTAAACAGTGTTTTCTCTCTCCTCCTGCAGTGATCGAGTGTGTTTGGCCTTCTTCTGTGTATCTCTGCACACGGTGAAGATCAGGCGGAGATGATGGCGGCAGGAGGAGTCGGGGGGGTGAAGTCTCTGCACATCCTGATGCTGGTTCTCCTCCAGCAGCTGTGGTTTCAGCCAGTAACCAGCACCACTGAAGAGCCCAAAGCCTGGAGACAAACCGGGCCCAGACTGCAGCTCTCACACTCAGGTAGGAAGCAGGAAGCAGAGTGTTTAGTCCTCTGTCTTCACCATTTGTGTGGGCTGTCCCTGAAGGCAGCATCTCCCTGGTCCAATGAGATTTCTCCGTGTGATTTTGCGTAGAAAAAATCATCTATGTGTCAAACAAATGTGTATGATACTTACACGCTTAGTTCAGTAGGATAATCTCCACATATTAGCACCACTTTATGATTTCTGAAGTAAAAAGCTAACGTTGGGCTATAAAGCACGGTCACATGACTTCACGTCACCACCGCTAAGCTAAAGGTGGCTAATGTTGGACTATAAAGGAACTACAGCACGGTCACATGACTTCACGTCACCACCGCTAAGCTAAAGGTGGCTAACGTTGGGCTATAAAGGAACTACAGCACGGTCACATGACTTCACGTCACCTCCGCTAAGCTAAAGGCGGCTAATGTTGGGCTATAAAGGAACTACAGCACGGTCACATAACTTCACGTCACCACCGCTAAGCTAAAGGTGGCTAATGTTGGACTATAAAGGAACTACAGCACGGTCACATGACTTCACGTCACCACTGCTAAGCTAAAGGTGGCTAATGTTGGGCTATAAAGGAACTACAGCACGGTCACATGACTTCACGTCACCACCGCTAAACTAAAGGTGGCTAACGTTGGGCTATAAAGGAACTACAGCACGGTCACATGACTTCACGTCACCACCGCTAAGCTAAAGGTGGCTAATGTTGGACTATAAAGGAACTACAGCACGGTCACATGACTTCACGTCACCACTGCTAAGCTAAAGGTGGCTAATGTTGGGCTATAAAGGAACTACAGCACGGTCACATGACTTCACGTCACCACCGCTAAGCTAAAGGAGGCTAATGTTGGGCTATAAAGGAACTACAGCACGGTCACATGACTTCACGTCACCACCGCTAAACTAAAGGTGGCTAACGTTGGGCTATAAAGGAACTACAGCACGGTCACATGACTTCACGTCACCTCCGCTAAGCTAAAGGAGGCTAATGTTGGGCTATAAAGGAACTACAGCACGGTCACATAACTTCACGTCACCACCGCTAAGCTAAAGGTGGCTAATGTTGGACTATAAAGGAACTACAGCACGGTCACATGACTTCACGTCACCACTGCTAAGCTAAAGGTGGCTAATGTTGGGCTATAAAGGAACTACAGCACGGTCACATGACTTCACGTCACCACCGCTAAACTAAAGGTGGCTAACGTTGGGCTATAAAGGAACTACAGCACGGTCACATGACTTCACGTCACCTCCGCTAAGCTAAAGGAGGCTAATGTTGGGCTATAAAGGAACTACAGCATGGTCACATGACTTCACGTCACCACCGCTAAGCTAAAGGAGGCTAATGTTGGGCTATAAAGGAACTACAGCACGGTCACATGACTTCACGTCACCACCGCTAAGCTAAAGGAGGCTAATGTTGGGCTATAAAGGAACTACAGCACGGTCACATGACTTCACGTCACCACCGCTAAGCTAAAGGAGGCTAATGTTGGGCTATAAAGGAACTACAGCACGGTCACATGACTTCACGTCACCACCGCTAAGCTAAAAGAGGCTAATGTTTTAGGGGTTTAGTGCTTTGCTCAAGACTCCTCTTTAGCTACCAATCCACTCTGTACTTAACCAGCGATCCTTCATACTAATACTGCCACGGTCAGACTGGGTTAGGGATGTTTATTAGCACTTGTTGTCATAAACATTCTGCATGCATTTCAATAGTTTAATGCTAGCACATTAGCATGGCATTGTTTTTAGGTGGCCTTGCTAGCTATTAGTTATTGTTTGTACCGTCAGAATTAATCAGCACCTACTCTAAACACCCCTTGTAAAAAAAAGATTAGCATTATTAGAATTATGTATCCCCCTATGAGCAAACAAACACGTGGTGCAGTTTTTGATAAAAAAGGGATTTAATGACCACATATAAAACAGTTTTGGCTATGTCTCTGTGCTTTCTTTGGGCCATTATTAGTACACACCCAATCCACTGACTAAAACAGATTAAGGACGATGTTTCTTTCTCCAGTTAATGTATTTTTAATGCTTTAACACTTTACGCCTAATTTATATGTTTAGCGCCCCATTTGGACATCGACATTAATCATGAATGTTATCCGTCATAGTATTCCTCTGAGCTTTAGCTTGAACACACAAGAATTCAGAATAAATTGTGTTTGTGGGATTCATTTGAGTCATTAAACCGTGAAGCTGTTTGTGCTCAGTTTTGAGAGTTTCATTTTCACAACAGAGAGAGAAAGCAGCACTGTCTTTCTTTGAGTATTTTCACGAGGGCGTACTTTTACTTCCTTCTCTTACTTATTGAATCTTGAATCTATCAGTTTACATGCCAATTTATTCAGAGCACCTCTGTTTAGTACCTTACAATGACAATCTGTAGCATTAAGGTTAATTATAATCCTTCAGTTTAGAAAATGTCAAAAATGTCCATGTTTTTCTACATTTTTAAAACATCTCCCTGGCGTCTGTCGTGATGACATTGGCTCATGTTACTTCACAGAAAGATTTTCCACAATGAGATCACATCATGCTCCATTTGTCGATTACGAGCGTGAGATAGAAGATTCATTAGTCACACAGAAAATATTACAATCTCTGAAATCATTCCATACTGATTACATCTCCCAAAAGGTCATCTATCAGACAGTCGGACACAGTTAGAGGAGATCTTGGTGGAGTATAAGAAACAATAAGAAGATAAGAAGTACTTTATTGATCCCAATTTGGGATTTGTTTGTGTTTTTAGCAGATAAAGAGAGTCGGTGAAAACAGAGCAACAATTGGAGAGAAAAATCCCGGCATCGATTAAGCTTTTGAGGAATGAGTTATGTTTCAACACACCGTCTAAATTAGGTTATATTATTAAACCCCTGTAGAAGTCCCTGGTGGTGGTTTTACTTCCAAAAAAGACGAGGAACTTGGAGGGAACACAGGGATTTTAGCCTCTGCAGACCATTTACATGCACTAAAACCTAAAGGCAGAGCCGGCCCGACCCATTAAGTGACATAATCTCCCGATTTTCGCGGGAGACTCCCGATTTCATAGCCCTCTCCCGGTTTCCTCCCGGGGTCATATTTGTCCCGCATTTCTAAATCAGATTTACACACGACTGTTTCCACTCGGACTTTAATACAGCTACACCATTGTTTGGTTTCCATGGTAGCGCGTCTCTTTAGTAGCGTGCGCAACTAGATAGTCACAGAAAAACAGAACAAGAATCGACAACTCGACCCTCTGCTCACTCCTTTCCTGGTCCAGCCCACACGAGGATCTTCCCGGGGGAGCATGCCCCTAGAGGAGGTGAGGACCCCCCTAGAGGAGGTGAGGACCCCCCTAGAGGAGGTGAGGTGTTTACATGCTTATTTATACAATATGTGTGCTTGTGCTAACATCATAAGACAAAAGTTGGTTCCGTGCTATGTGGAGTGAGAACGCGCTAGGGCCGGCCCTGCCTAAAGGACACACTATAGGAGAGGCAACACCCTAAAAAAGCAGAATAGGGGCTTCTTTAATAAGTAACATCTCTCTCTGAGAGTGTAACATAATCGGATGTTAAAGAAATGTTTGTGATTAAGTTTTGTTTCTTTTTCCACTCTTGCTTGTTTTTGTCTTCCCGTAATTGTTGTCCCTCGAGAGCATGTGAGCTTTTTCCATTTCCCTAAATAGTCTGTACCTCATCGTGTGTGTGTGTGTGTGTGTGTGTGTGTGTGTGTGTGTGTGTGTGTGTGTGTGTGTGTGTGTGTGTGTGTGTGTGTGTGTGTGTGTGTGTGTGTGTGTGTGTGTGTGTGTGTGTGTGTGTGTGTGTGTGTCTTTAACAGTAGCAGCTCAGAGGTTTTCGTGGCAGTAAAGTGAAGCCGTTAATGAAGGAGTTCCAGATCCTCTCGCTGTGTTTGTAGCTTCAGGATCAACGTTAGAGAGACTATTAATATTTTATAAGGCAGATACTCAGACAGCAGCTTCAGGGGCTACACACACACACACACACACACACACACACACACACACACACACACACACACAGAGGGAGAGAGTGTGTGTGCATCACAGGTGACCCAGTGTGTGACCCGTGCAGGAATCCAGAGAACGGCCCTCATCCTGCAGGGAGACACACTCCGTTAACCTCTCACCTCACCTGAGTGTGTGTGTGTGTGTGTGTGTGTGTGTGTGTGTGTGTGTGTGTGTGTGTGTGTGTGTGTGTGTGTGTGTGTGTGTGTGTGTGTGGTTTATTGTTTCAGGGTCGGTTTAGATTTAACTTCTCTGACAGGCGCTCTTCCTGCTGCTCAGTTTCTGACGCTCACGTGGAATTAATCCAAGAAAAACACACTGACATCATGCAGGACTGTGGGATGGGAAACACACACACACACACACACTGGTTAAAGCACACACAGTGATAGCTGTGGCAGACAGTGTGTTATCTCTCTCTCGCACACACACTTTATTTTGATAGCTGCTCACTCAGACATGATACAAATACACCAACTGGTACTTTATGTTCCTACAAATATCCAATTATCATTTTGACAGCTGCACACACACACACACACACACACACACACACACACACACACACACACACACACACACACACACACACACACACACACACACACACACACATGGGGTTCAGTTAAAGGTACGTGACTAGATTAGTCTTGCTTTTCATTATCAAATCAACTCGGAGAAAAAACTTGTGTTGTGAGAAATCTGTCAAAACTGATTTATGCATACTAACACATACAGCATGCAAAACTAGTGTGTGTGTGTTCCCTGCTGCCCGTACCTTGTGGTGTCATGCAGTGAACCTTGACCTTTGACCCTTCTGTGATTATAGGAGGTAGATTTAGGAGGAGAGGAAAGCAGAAGAGAGGAAAGAAATGAAAAGGCAGAACTAAAGGAGATACGATGGAGTCAGAGAACACAAACAAGAAGCTGGAAAAGATGGAAGGTGTCAATAA